TAAGAGTTCTCAAATTTGCAACTTGTAACTACATTTTCAGCTTAAACTTTTCAAAAGTAGGTAGGCATTTTTTACTTTTCAGCAGAAACATCTCCACCACTATGCAATGCTTTCAAACTGGTTTTGGTAGTTTCCAGAAGAGTATGTAAGTACCTCAATTCTGCATACAGACCTTCAAGATCACAATCCTCGTAACAGTTGGCAGGACAGAATCCCTGGGGCAACACTTGAGTACTGGGTAATACCAAGGAGTCCTAGGTTCTAGTCCAGATTCTGCATTTAGCTGTCATGTGGCCTTGGGCTAGTCACTTCCTTCTCTGCCCTGCTGATATTTAAAAAGTGGAGATTGAACTAGGTGGTCTCTTAGATCCATTTATTTCCAAACTGCATGACTCAGGGATGGTTATAAGCTCTCTACTATGTAAATGAACATTTCACAGAAAAGGAAATTTAAAACCTCACTTGGCCATAGGGTTATTTTATCTTTTGCTGATAAAAATGTCTGTGATGCTGGAAAAAAAAGTAATTACATTTATGGATACAATAGATATTACAGGTTAGCCAGCAGTGATCAATAGTGGTTACCTAATTTTCTATTCCATTAAAACTGCCACTTCCAAAAGATCCTTAGTCAAAGATTAAACTCCTATAATCCAATAGCTCTTTAAAGAGCACAGAAATACAACTTTTGACTAAGGAAAAGCAATATATAGGCAGCTGTAACTGCATTACCTTTTAACTAAAAGGAACACAAATTTGGTCTGGAACGACACCTCATGTTTCAAATATGTATACTAATTCCACAGGGAAGCCAAAAGCTGAACTGGAAGAAATGTTCTAATTCTTGTTTGGCAATCGCATTGACATGAAGAGTGTATGTGTTAGATACACAAAAAGGTGGAGAAAGGGAGAGAGGAGAGAGAGAGAAAGAGAACTCATGCAAGTGTGCCAATGTACTTGTACTAAAGGGAGAGGGCCATAGAAGTTGCATGTAGGACGATTAGAAAAGCACTATGTTCCTCAAAATTAAAAACCATTCCTTAATTTAAAGAGAGGTGGTTAGCATACTTAGGGTTTTATCAGCTTTTAAACTTGTATGAATATGTGCTTGCTATTATCCCTAACTATGACAAGTTTAGATGGATGGCTATGAAAAAGAAAAGAAAATATGACATCATTGGAATTACAAGTAAGACAAGGAGAAACCCAAAGTACAGACACAAGAACACAGAAAAATTTTAAGAGAGTACAGATGTCATGACATTTATTAAAAGGCATGCTACAATGCTATACTCGTTAGGAAAAGAGATTAGAGATATCAAGTAATAGTCAGCAAATATACAAACCGAACGAAAATGGAATATACTGTAGTGTACAGAAGCTTGAATTAACCATGCACTACGCATTTAGAAAATATGCTTTTTAATATTTTATCTTCTCTTTGCATTTATAACATAATTCACTTAAACAATCACAGAATCCTCTTCTTCCAACGCCACAAACTGTGTTACAAATGAAAGCTGGTACTGCTGCTTATCAAAATATACAAGACAATTGATGTTTTATATAAAACCACTTTATATGTTAACTTGTTCCCAAAAACCTTTTTTTTTTTCCTTTTTTGGCCTGGTTAAAAAAAAGTTGTTACAAATATTTACAGCATTTTCTTCTGTTAGATGAACATTCTTATCAACTGAAAAAGGGAATTTTATGAACAGACCACATAAAACACAAGACAATGTCAGAGGCTCCTAGCTGTGCTATTTTTTTTTTTCTTAAATACAGTACTGAAAATGCCCATCAAACCCTAACATCCTAATCCATTCTGTTCACATTTATACTCCCATTTTCTCTAAGTAGTCTATTCACCAATAGGAAATAGAAAGTAAAGGCCGCTTTGCACTGGGTCTTCTTGCAGAAAGGAGCTTGGGAAAAAATGCTTAATGAGAGGAGTTAAAACCAGAACAGTTAAGTCTTTGGTCAGAGCAATGAGGTGACATTTTGATGCAAAACTTTGCTTGGTCAGCAATTTATAATTAGTACTTTCTGGATGTGGGATGAATTTTTTTTTTAAAGATCTAGGTAACAATGGTAAGGGGGGAAAAGGCCAGAGTATGTTTTGTTTTTTAAATGACATCCAAAATAACTATTTAAATATCTGTTAATACAACTACTACAGAGATTCAAAAACTGAAAATAACACAACAAAAACAAAATCTGTTTACAGTGCTGACTTAAGCTTGCTATAAGCAGCTTTCAATCATGACTATTATCACCAAGGTCACTGGACCAGACAAATATCCCTGTTTTCTGGAACATATGCCTCAGGTTACAAAAACTAAAATGACTACCACAAAGATTTAGAGCAGCTCATTCTTGGACCTGCACAATGCTATACAATGAATATTATGTGAGAAAGGCAAAAGTGTAGCTGAAACCTCATTTCTACAGTTAAAATTCTTTGCTTGTATGAATAGTCTGTGAGATAACATTCTTTTAAAACTTTATAGTACATATTTCCTGAAAACCAGAATACTGATACTACCTTAGTCTCAAATAGGAAGAAAAGGTCAATTAAGACTACTGAAGAAGGCACATAAACTTTGGTCCTGTTTGGTTTTCTTCCCTCTATAAAACCCCCCACTAATATTTTAGCAATTTTCTACTTTTTAAACCATTCACAACTAACTGTTAGAATTTGCTGTGAAAAAAGACTGCAAATAGTTTTTAGATAACAACACAGCTCTTTTGAAGGACAGCTGAGTTCTATTTTCTTTAAAGGAAAACTTTTGTGCAATCTAAATTGCATTTTTTTTTTAGCACAATAGTAGAATATTTTAAGTCTGGCAGTTTTATTCTTGTTAACAACTGATCAAGACAAAGGAAAGGCTAAGAAAAATGCTTTTACGCATAGTCATGCTGTCTTTTTGGTTTAAAAATAGCAGTACACATCAGGTTTTCTAAGAGATAGATTGATAGTTTGGCAAACTTAGGGTTTTTAAGTGACTCACTGGGGGAAAAACACATACTTTTGAGTTTGTCATCTTTTGTCCAAAAGTATTTAGTGGGAACAGAAATTACATGAAACATATTCACTATATAAATTCAACTGCCTAATGACATTTATGAGAGTTATCTCTTTATCATCTGAAGTAGAACCAATGATCACCATCGTAGGCGGAGCCAAAGAAGACACTGCTCCCTTAAGGAATTAGGCAGGCAAAATTATGTCTCTAAAAATTGTGAGATCTGCAACTTTTAAATTTTTTTTTTAAGGTTTTATTTATTTCTAGGAGAGAGAGAGAGAGAGAGAGACAGCGTGAGCAGGGTGGGTCAGAGAGAGAGGGAGTCACAGACTCTGAAACAGGCTCCAGGCTCTGAGCTGGCAGTCAGCACAGAGCCCGACGTGGGGCTCGAACCCACGAACCGGGAAATCATGACCTAAGCGAAAGTCAGACGCTTAACTGACTAAGCCACCCAGGCGCCCCGAGATCTGCAACTTTTAACAGAATCAGAAACATTACTAAAAATAACATTGTAATATTTAGTCTTAAAGACTATATGGCATTCTATTGGATCTATTGGGGAATTCTGATACTCTCCAGTAAGCTATTGATTAAGATACTGAGATACTGGGTCATTTTTCTATTTGTATCTCACAAAAAACACATTTTACTGCTATGCAAGTTATTTAAATCTCAAACTTTTTGGCTTACATTGCTATTGCTGAACGTGTACTGCTATTTTCTGAAGACCTGAATATATATACTCTGTGTACAAGTCAAGACACCTCCAAAAGTGGTAAGACAATACTTCTTAAAATAAAGGAAATAAACTTAGAAATAGGATAATATGGACAGCTCAACAGTGAAAATAAACATTGTTTAGAAGATACTGAATAAATGTATGCCAAAATAAAAGTACGAAGATCTAGTTTTTCCACTACCCTGATATTTTTAAATCTTTCTACAGAAACAATGCCAACACAAATACTATAGACCTCTATGATTCAAACAGTAAATAACCCAATATGGACAATATCCATGCACTACAGCTAATTTCAGACACAAATTGAAGATTTCAAACATACTAGTTTAGACAAGAATATCTCACTTTTCCAAATCTTAATTTGACTTTGTCAATAAATTAAAATGTATGTAATGTGTATATGTATGTACATTTGGAGAGTGCATGTATATGTATACATACTTACCTACACATACACACACCACACAGACACACCACACCACACCACACCAAACACAGACATACACACACATCCCTGAAAAAGGTTCAAATGTTCTCTCAGATTTAAAGGTCATTCCCTACTTCAAAATTACATTCAACACTATTTTGATTTCCATTCTGCTACACTGACACTAAATGTTATGAGAATCATGAATTAAACTTACACAGTAATTTCTAACTCAAAGCAAACAAAATAATCCAATAAATGTGACACTGAAAATTACAACAGTGCCTGTATGGAAGAAATAAAGAAGCAAATTTGGGGAGGTTTCTTTTAAAAAAGTGTTTTTCCCTCCCCCATCTTACCCCCAGTGTTTTGGTAAAAACACATTTTGTAAGTGAAACAAAACAAAACCAAACCTATATAACTGATTATTACTATCCATTCAGCCAATGCTAAAACAGACTCATTTGAAATGAATCTCAATTTAGTGTCCTCCTTCCTATTCTACCAGGTACCTGCTTCTCAGTGTTAAGTGAATTCTGCTTTTTATAACCTATAGTATCTTCTGTAGTCTCTAATTTTCTATAAAATTTCTTTTGTAAAAATCTTCCAACATTCAAATTAATGGCTGCAATATAGTAAAGAGACTGAGATATTCTTTTTAAAGGTGAGATGAGCTACTCTGAGAATCTTAAAAGTGTAAAAGGGATGGACAAAAATGACCCCTGTGACAAATTCTGCTTTTAAAAAAAATCTGATCAAGCATTGAAAAAATAATGAATGAATGCAAAGTTTCTCCTTAAAAAGAAATAATTTTACATTACAGAATCACTGAAGCAACATTAAAATGTATTCTTACACTCAACCAAAAGAGAAAAGGACAGAGTATGAGAAAGGACCTACCTTCTCATATTCCATATAAGGTGGACACTCAGTAATAAAGTTACATTAACAAAGAAAAGCATCCCACTGTACTGAGAAAATCCAAGTAAACCTGAGACAAATTCTACTGGGTGATAAAGGTTAGACAAGATTCAGAAACTGAAATTGCATTTTATAGTCTCAAACTGGTATGCTATAACTGGCAATGACCACCACTGGTCACAAAGTGAAGAGGCCTACAGGTGTGCACTGAGTTATTCCCCAAACCATCACCCTTTCCTACCCCATGTCTGCACCAAAGCACCAAAAATTTGAATAAAAACTATTACTTATTGAAAACCACTTAAATTGCAATGAAAAAACTTTAAAATCCTTACCAAAACAGGGAAAGAAAAAACAAAACGCTCACCAAGCCCACAATATAGCTTTCAAGATACTTAGATAAAATTCTAACCTATTGTATCATAAGCACATAATAAGGCACATAATAAGAAATTAAGTAAATACACAGTAATTCTGAATAAGTATTAGAGATTATAGTGGTACAAAAAACCCTTGAGATTAATTTTTTTCTAAAAGAAGACCTTACCAAAAATAACTTTTAAAAAATCTGTCAAACCATATGATAGACCTGAATATTTTCCTTAAGACTGTAAACTTTTTTTCTGAAAACAATTATAAAAAAGTAGTTTATAAGTAGGATTATTTTTCTTTTTAAATTTTCCAAGATCATATTACTCAGCAAATAGTATCATTTTGAAATTTAAACCATGACTTTTCCTAATAAAATTAGTATTTCTTATGACACCTTAACAGATCCTGGATTCCATTTAATTTCCTTGGGGACAACTGAGACACTTCATTTCTCCAAACAGTCTTAAAAAATTAAAGATATGTATTCTTCAAAGGAGTGTCTTACAGTGAAAAAAAGAAACTACTAAAAGAAAATGTGCAAGTTTATAAATTTTCTTCCAATACAACCCAATTTGTTTATGTATAATACCTATCAATATATGCCTAACAACTGATAAAATTTAGAAGTGAACATAATTTCCTATAGGGGTCGAACTTCTGAATCATAAAGTTAAAAACTTCGTTGTAAGTAATTTAAAAAGTCTGTTTGTTTAAATTTTTCCAAAGTACAAAGGAGTTTAGAAATGTTGTATAAGGCTGATCTGGACCCAAACTAAAATAAAGTCTGTCCTCTTGAAATCCGATTTAATACAGGGAATTAAATTATTCAAAAAATTCTTTTCCTGATTTTTTTTCCTGAAGGTTATATTCATAGACACGAAGGTACAAAGGAAAAACAAGCCTTTGATCACATACTGACAAGGGAGAAAAATGGAAAAAAAGAATGTCCCTTGATTTTCTGAATATACTTGGATATCAAACTCAGAGTTATTTTTGTGAAAGAGGCAGAATTGGTCTTGAGCTGCTTCAGTCTATGTCTGAAGGTTTTACTGAAATTATGGTCCAGTCTTAGGAGAAAAATTCACAGAAAAATCAGATTGTAGATTTTGAGAAGGAAACTCTGAGGTGGTGATTTTCTCCAAGGTCATGGTTATGAAGCTCAATGAGGGCCTGGATTGCTTCTTCCACAGATCCCAACTGAATGAGTGCCATTTTGCGATCTTTCCTGAAAATCACGGAAGAAGTATAAAAAGTATGTACATTAATGTTACCCACAAATCCCCCCAAATCTAGACGACTTCATTGAGCTACCTTTAAATTTTGCACACCACATAAAATAACGTATTTCTTGAAAGCATGGACTTACTGAAAGAATTTAAAAGCCTTCACTGAACATCCAGCTTCTGTGAAAAGGTTCTTCAGATCATCCACTGTAACAGAAGGGCTGTGGAAATATCACAGAGAGTGTCAACTAACTTAGCCCCAATTCTCTAACGAACCAAAGATTAACTTTCAACTGTCAAATCTCCAGAGTATCTCACATTTTTAAGACAATAAAGCCATGATTTGGAACTGCCCTGAAAGATGTTCAAGACTGACACATAGACATGTTCTCAAACAATGTAATTTGGTCTCAAATCTTTTGCATAAAATATGGGCAGGTACTGGGGCAACTGGGTGGCTCAGTTAAGCATCTGACTTTAGCTCAGGTCACGATATCATGGTCTGTGGGTTTAAGCCCTGCATCAGACTCTGTGCTGACAGCCCAGAGCCTGGAGCCTGTTTCAGATTCTATGTCTCCCTCTCTCTCTGCCCCTCCCCTGCTTGTGCTCTGTCTCTGTCTTTCGAAAATAAATAAACATTTAAAAAAAAAAAAAAACTAAAAAAAATATGGGTCGGTATTTAAAGAACAAGAAAATCTATATTTCTTTTAAAGGGATAACTACCCATACCACTGACTTCAGTAATCGACGTTAGTAGGATTTCCAAAGTTACTTCCCAATTCTGACTTGTTGGCTCTTGACCAGATGTCTACATTTCAATGGCTTTTAGGGTAATTCTGAATACATGTATGTGGGAGTCAGGGTCTAAGATGCACCGCACACCCCACCCCCCACCCCAACTACTATTGCCTCCTAGTATTCAAGGCCTTTAGATACTCCTTTCCCATAAGGAAGAGATGTCCTTTGTAACCTTTAGGGTACCGTAGAAACAACGTTTGACTTTTTTTTTTTTTAACGTTTACTATTTTTGAGAGGACTCAAATTCACTGACTGCAAAATCATGCTCTGAGCCGAAGTCACGATGTTTAACTGACTGAGCCACCCAGGTATGCTGACATGTTAGACTTCTAAGGCTGAGAGGCATTGCAATTCCCACCCTGCCCTCCCTTGAATCATTAGCTCTGGAAGAAACCAACCACTATTTCAGAAGGACGCTCAAACACCCATATGGAGAAGTCCTTTGTGGCAAGGAACTGAGGCTGCCTGTCAACAACTAGGCACATACGTTAGATGAGCCACTTTGGAAGTAGATCCTCTAGCCCCAGTTAAACCTTCACGTTATTGAGACACTCTAAGTCAAAACTAATCAGCTAAGCCACTCTGATTCCTGAATCACAGTAACAGTATTAGATAATAAACATTTACTACTTTGTTAAGTTTTGGGGTGATCTGTTATTCAGCAGTAGATAACTAATACAGTGGCCTATCACATGAGAGTCAACTGACTAAAGTATTCTAAGATAGCACTTGTCGTTCCCTAATTTCTTATGAGATGATTTAACTGCCCTAATGTCTTAAGAACACTGTACCTCATGTCACAACTGCCAGTGATGATGGTGCAGGAGGACAATGACTGGCTCTGCATGGAGACAGATCGGAGTTCACACTCTATTTCTCATTCATTTGGTATGTGACTTTGCATAAGGTGCTTAACTTGAGAGAGTTTCACTGATAAAATGAAACCAATGACTTTATTTCAATGGTTTTTATAAATGAATTAATAGAAGAATAGTGGTTATCAAGGACTGGAAAGTAGAGGAAAATGGGGAATTACTGTTTAATGGGTACAAAGCTTCAATTTGGGATAATGACAAGAATCTGCAGATGGGCAGAGGTGATGGTTGTACAATCTGAATGTACTTAATGTGAATGTACACTAAATGGCACATTCAAAAATGGTTAAAATAGGGACACCTGGGTGGCTCAGTCAATTAAGTGTCTGACTGGCTCAGGTCATGTTCTCCTGATTTGTGAGTTCAAACCCTGCATCAGGCTTTCTTCTGTTAGTGCAGAGTCTGCTTTGGATCCTCTGGCCCCCTCTCTGCCTCTCACCTGCTCTCAGGTGTACTATCAAAAATAAATAAACATTTTTTTATTAAAAAAAAGGTTATTATATGGAGATAAATGAGGTAACAAATGTAAATTGCCAGCATGGTGCCCAGAACTCGGTAGATGGTTCAAAAAATACTAACATCGGGGCGCCTGGGTGGCTCAGTCGGTCAAGCGTCCGACTTCGGCTCAGGTCATGATCTTGCGGTTCGAGGGTTGGAACCCTACGTCGGGCTCTGTGCTGACAGCTCAGAGCCTGGAGCCTGTCTTCAGATTCTGTGTCTCCTTCTCTCTCTGACCCTCCCCCGCTCACGCGGTCTCTCTCTCAAAAATAAATAAAACATTAAAAAATTAAATTATATATGTATATATAAAAAATACTAACATCCTCTCTCTCTTCTGCCTATGTATCTTATGTAGGTTGCAACCTGAGACCAGCCCCTAGATAAGAGACTAGCTGGCAGACTGAGCATTCAACATTATTTTGAGTGATTACTTTGTATTCCCAGTCATCCCCATTCTCATTCTCAATAATGTTCTAGACTTTTTTACCCTTCCTCATTCCCTCAAGTCTTTAAATTTCCACAGACGTGGACACATACAACCCCACCATTTCCAATGTTTATTCTGTCTGCATGTATTAGATTAAGTTATATACAACTGCCATCTTCATATGTGCTGGGAGTGCAGAGTCTGTTTGGGATTCTCTCTCTCCCTCGCTCTCTGCTCCTTCCCCACTCAACACTGTCTCTGTCTCAAAAATAAATTAAATAAACTTAAAAAAAAAAAAAAACGATGACTAAAGAACAAGTCTATTAAAACACTGGTTAAAATGTAGTCATGATAATTTTTAGTTTTTATAAACATTTTTAAAATTATTTATTTTACTTTTGAGAGAAAGAGCACACAAGCAGAGAAGGGATAGAGACGGGGACACAGGATCTGAGGGGCTAAAGTGGGCTCTGTGATGATACCAGTGAGCCTGATGCAGGACTTGAATTCACAAACTGTGAGATCACGACCTGAGCTGAACTTGGATGTTCAGATGACTGAGTCACCCAGGCACCCCTAAACATCTTTTAAAAGGTTTATTTATTTATTTGGAGAGAGAGAGAGAGAGAGAGAGAGAGAGAGAGAGAGAGAATGGGCACACACACAAGTGGGGAGGGTGGGCAGAGAGACGGAGAGAGAGTCCCAAACGGGCTCCATGGAGTCATTGTGGGGCCTGGTGCTGGACTCAAACTCACAAATCCTGACTTCATGACCTGAGTCAAAAGCAAGAGTCCGACGCTTAACTGATTCGGCCACCCATGTGCCCCAGAGTAATTAACATATATACGGCTTTGCAACTTGTAGATAAAGATTAGAAAATTCATTTTTACCATATTCTTAGACACATAAATTGTTTGATTTTGCTACGTTCGTTAATTCTCTACTTCTGTACAAAGGGATGAACAAGTATGTACCAATGGAATATTTCTGCATAAACTTATTTTTATGCCTTTTTATAACTGAAAGGTAACTAGTTGCTAATTCTCTATTTGGGACATCTTTTTTTTTTTTTTTTAATGTTTTTTATTTATTTCTGAGAGAGTGAGAGAGAGCGCACGAGAATGAGCAGGGGAGGGTCAGAGCGAGGAGACACAGAATCTGAAACAGGCTCCAGACTGAGCTAGCTGTCAGCACAGAGCCCAACGCAGGGCTCAAACACTCGAACTGTAGCCAAAGTTGGACGTCCAACTGACTGAGCCACCAGGCGCCCCACTAATTCTCTATTTGAAAAGAAACTGTTGCTTTCACTTTTGGTGTTAAGACTAGAGATATAACTTAAAGACATGATGGTAAATAAGTAATCTCATAAGAAATTGGTGACATGGACAACTGCTACATTAGAATAATTTCAGAATTTCTACCTCTCCCAAACCATATACTGTACAATATTATTAATCATCTAAATGAATAATAATTAATTGGGTACATACGGGATGTTGGAAAGATGCAGAGTGGCTGATGGTGGAAAAATATTCTGGAAGTTTTTAGAGCCAGGTTTTTTAAAGCGATGCAAAGGACTATTGCTAAAATCCTTAGTCAGACCTTGGTCTTCTTGTCCCTCTCGAGGAAGTTGAACTGCCTGATGTTTGGACAATGTAGCGCGAAGCACTTTTCCATAAAGTCTCTGCCCACTCAGGTGGTTCATGGCTGGTGCATAGGAAGAAAATAAGAAAAGTTTGGGTATTAAGATAAAGTTGTTGTAAAATTTGTCTAAATTATCATAAATTCTTTTCTTTAGTCATTTAAAATTATATTGCCAGTTCTGAGTTATAATGGTTTTAAATCCAAAAACTCTTAAATACAGAAACGTATTAAATGACTTTACTGTAATGAAAGAGAAGAAGTTAAACAAAAAATAACTAGTAGAGTGCTAGAAAGTTTCATAGTGCACAGAACAAGGGCTCAGGAAATGGTTATTGAATAAAGTATTTTAATCTCAAGCAATGCTTTTTTTTTTTTCTTAAAGCAGGCTCCATGCCCAAAGTGAGACTTGAACTCACAACTCTGAGATCAAGAGTTGCATGCTCTACTGACTGAGCCAGCCAGGTACCCCTGGCAACACATTTTTTTAAATAAAAAAACTAAGTAGTAATATTTTTAAAGCCACTGTAACTATGAACAATAAAGGCCATGGGATTCTACTTTCTTACACCATTATGATGAAGTCTGCCCAAACATTTAACCCATGAAACAGTTCCAGAAAACTTAATTTGAAAGAAAAACAAGTAAATAAATAAAATTAAATGAAACCAAAAAAGTCACATTTATTAGTTTATACTTAATGGGAAAAAACTAGAGTTTATAAAGCTCCAAACATCAACCATACATTCAAGTAGATAAATGAACTTCAGACTTCAAAGAGAAATAACTATTTATCTTTTTTTCTTTTTTTGAAACAGAGCTTGCACCTGAATGGAGGGAGGAGCAGAGAGAGGCAGAGAGAATTCCAAGCAGGCTCTATGCCCAGCACAGAGCCTGATGTGGGGCTCGATCTCTCAACTGTGAGACAGATCACGACTTTAGTTGAAATCAAGAGTTGGATGCCTAACCCACTGTGCCACCCAGGCACCCCTATTTTTGAATCTTAAACTAGAAGTAGGTCCAAATAATAATGAAAACATTTGCATAAGGAGGTACCCTTCAGTAAAATGATATTCCTACCACCCAGAGGTTTATTTTATAGCCAAATTCACCTACCAGAGAAGCAGGCTATCATTACTACTATTAATCACTGTACCTAGCTGAGCTTGACTTGCATCTGCCATCTGAACCAAGGCATTCTCTTTCTTATTAAACATAATCTTCACTCGATGTACATCACCATATACTCCTAATGGAAAAGACAAAACAAAACCTTAATTAAACAAAAAAGTTCCTGTGTAATGTTCAATTTTACTAATACATTTAAAGAAGGCTTCTCTTCTCATGTAAATATTCTCTGGGCAATTCCACACATGTGCTCCCAAATTTGTTATCCCTTCTATGTTCCAGTCCTTTTAATCTACTCAACCCTTTTCACTTGGAGGTCGCATATACACTTCAAATTTAGTATGCCCCAAATGGATTCATCTCCATTTTTCTCTCCCTGCTTCCGGTTTCACTGACTCTGCTGATATATATTATCATCATCTATATATTTGCTCTAGTCAGACACCTGGGAGGCATCTTTTAACTTTCTCCCTTGCCTTAAACTCTCATATTCAGTCAATCACCAGCACCCATTGATTTTGTGGCCCAAATATCTCTTACACTTATCCACTTCTTCCCATCCTCACCTCCATCAAAGCTACCATTATCATTTCAGATCTAAGTCATGCTAACAGCACCCCAACTGACCTTAATACAATCAATCTTTCTATATTAGTCTTCCCCAAAGTGGATTCCATATTCCAAAGGACTGGCAAAATGATTGGGGCGTAGGGGAAAATAGTCAAACTCATTTATACAGATTTGTTTATATAAGCTACTATGAAAAACTGTATTTTACAAATTTTTAATATATGCATGAAATTATAGGCAGAAATTTCTACAATAGGAAGAATATTATTTTTAAAATTTAATACATCAAATTAGATTGCAGTTTATGTGCTAGAGGGTATCACTAATATAATAAAAATTAGACCCTTAAATATTACTAGCACCATAAGCACACTTTGTTATGTGACGAAAGAATGACCGTGAGTATCTTCAAGGCACACACAAGGAGTGCTGATTATCTTGTGGGCAAGCACCTAAGAGCAACTTAAGTTAGAGATGAATGGTATTTTTAAAAAAGACAACTATTCCTAATTCCAAATTGGCTGTCTTTCTCAGAAATGATGAGTGGTTGAAATAGATATTAAAAAAAAATACAGGGGCGCCTGGGTGGCTTAGTCGGTTAAGCGTCCGACTTTCACTTAGGTCATGATCTCACGGTTCGTGGGTTTGAGCCCCGCGTCGGGCTCTGTGCTGACTGCCAGCTCAGAGCCTGGAGCCTGTCTCGGTCTGTGACTCCCCTCTCTCTCTGACCCTCCCCTGCTCACGCTGTCTCTCTCTCTCTCTCTCCTAGAAATAAATAAAAAACATTAAAAAATAATAAAATAAAAAAAATAAAATTTGTTCTTCAAGTTGAGGGTGATATTTTTTTTTTTAATTTTTTAAATTTAATCAGAGAGATAAAGAGAGACAGCATGAGCAGGGGAGGGTCAGAGAGAGAGGGAAATACAGAATCTGAAGCAGGCTCCAGGCTCTGAGCTGTCAGCACAGAGCCTGACGTGGGGCTCGAACCCACAAACTGTGAGATCATGACCTGAGCTGAAGTTGGACGGTTAACCGACTGAGCCACCCAGGCGGCCCGAGGGTGATATATTTTTTTTTTTTAATATTTTTATTTATTTCTAGGAGAGAAAGAGAAAGCATGAGCAGGCAAGGGTCAGAGAGAGAGGGAGACACAGACTCTGAAACAGGCTCCAGGCTCTGAGCTGGCAGTCAGCACAGAGCCCGACGCGGGGCTCGAACCCACGAACCGCGAGATCATGACCTAAGCGAAAGTTGGACGCTTAAACGACTAAGCCACCCAGGCGCCCCGATATTTTTTTAAACGAGTAAGAAGTTAATTGCTTTTGGAAAGAAATATACATTAAGTTATTAGAAAGACATGTGAAAATTTATCATTAATACATAATTTTGTTACTGAAAATTATATGAATGTGTCAGGAATAAAAACTTTTTTATGAACTCCAAGGTGTATGAAGAATCTCTGTGGGGTGACAGAAATGTTCTAAAACTGGACTGTAATGGCTGCATGTGCAACGATGTAAATTTACTAAAACTCAATGGGTTATGTACCTAAGCAGATGAACTTGTATGGTTACAAATTACATCTCAAAAAAACTGTCTAAAAAACCTATTATCCACTCAAGATTTTGAAATGACTTTCTATCCTATTAAATTTCCAAATAAAGAGTACCAGTGAGTTTTAACCCCATCTGTTAAAAAAATATTCTAATACAGCAATTTGCAACATCAAATGATTTATTTAACAAAACAAGAGGAAAAAATGGAACTTTTCTAGGTAAAGTACAACAAAAATGAATGGGTGAGATTGAGAAATTAGTACCATAATTAATTAGGTACAGTGACAATGAAACATTTCCACTTAAATCACTTATCTTTATGAGCTATCATTTTCAGTTATGACAACCTTTAAGATCAAGCACTAAAATCAAGTGAATTTGGAAATCAGAGCTGGGAATACTGAATCAAAATGGAAAAGATTTTAAATAATGAAACATATTAAGTAGTATTTCTCATTAAATGTTGTAAGTTTTTTATGAAGTTTCACCATTAATAAAAATCTCTAAAATAATGATTATTTTGTTCTTATATTTCTATTTGTGCATATTATACTGTATATAATGAGTACAGGAAAAGATGGATAAAGTTTACATTTTTTTTTAACTGAGTGAGGAACACTATTAGAAGATCTGGAGACTATTTTTAAAACCTGAATCTCATTATTCCTCTTCTCTGCTTAAAACTATTCAATGGTTTCCCACTGTCCTTAGATTAAAAATCCAGCTCCTTAATTTAGTTTACAAAGCTCTTCCTGACCTTGTCCATATTCATCTGTCCGGCGTCAACACTTTCCATTGGGAGCGGCTTCCTTCACTCCCATGTTCCAGGAGCTCTCTCACCCATTGCTAGTACGTGGGAAAGCACATTCGCCCTTCCTTTTTGCCTGGCCAATGCTTACTCATTTTTCACAAGTCAGCTTAACTATCATTTCTATCGGTACACCATCTTTGATTCTCTCAGCTAGGTTAGGTCTCCCAAGTACACGTTCCTATTACAATTTCTATTTCCCTTTTTATAAAACTTTACTTTAACTGTAATTACTTACTACATCTTACTTATTTCCTTCTCTATCTTCAGTGTGAAACACACTATTTGGTACATAGAGATAACTGATAAATATTACTGAGTGATAAAACAGGCTTAATCCACATCACAGACATTAAAAACAGCAAAAAAAAACTTACCAAACAGGATAAAAAGCCCATGTGGTGTGATAAGCTGTTTGAATAGGAGAACACAAAATATAAGAGTCAAATTTAAATAAAAAAATTAAAGTGTATGAAACAATCTTAAACATTTTCATTTGAACATAACCCTAGATCAAAAGCTATGAAAAGACTAAAATTATAAAATAATTTTCAACTCACATCCGGATTGAGATTGGTGACAAGTAGAACAGAATTTCCTGGTACACCACTAGTCCCAGGAATGGCCATCCTTCCAGTGACAGCAGAGGAGGTGATTGTGAGAGGGCCCAGAGCTCCAGGAACAGCTGGGACTGATATACCTTTTTAAAATATCAAAAGCATTTCAATGTATACTGGTTATCTGGGGAATTACAACACTGGATATAACTTAAATAAATAAATGAAGACGAAAGCAAAAATATAGAAGAAAACAAGTCAAAGCTACCATAAGGATATCAAAGGCCAGTTAAGCCTAGAAGTCAACTTCCTTATTCTTGGACAGCATCATGCTCAGTACTCTGTTATTTATTATACAGAATTTTGCAGAGCAACTGAATTCACTGGTCTTAAAAGTCATTAGGCTTTTGAAGGATCTATCAACAATAAGCACTCCATTTCTTGAAAGATATTCTAGCACATTGTTATAAGGTAGATTTTCATTTGGCTTCTACCACAAAATTAAAAAAAAAACACTTCAGCAAAAGTCGTATCTGTGACTAGGAAGTATTACATGTCCTCTTAAGACTGGACTGTATAACTGGCTACATAACTCTGTAAATTCACTAAAAATCACTGAACTGTATACCAGGATGCAGAATACAAAACATTCTGTATAAGAATAGTATTGTATAAAAAAAAAAATTATAACCTTATAAAGTGCTGTATAAATATAACCATCAATAATTGATTTATAGAGTTCAGTATTCTTCTATAGCAAGAATTTTCAGAGATCTCTAGATATTCTAGAATTACTTCAAGTTTTATAATACTGGAATATTGATACTATATACTATGCCTAAAATAGCACTTTACTATTTCTGAAAGTCCTACTATTTGTGTTTTCAGCTTAAAAATTATCTAAGGTAAAATCCCTAGTTAATGTAAAATAAACCAGTTCCTTAATGATAATTATTGATTCTTTAAGCTCAAAGTTCCTTATAATAGGGTCTGGTTATTTTCCCGCAAATCATGTAATTAAACTTCAATATAGTTTACATTCAGACTATTCTGCTTGACAATCTAATGAGGTCATTTTAACCATCATCTTCCTGCAGACCACTTTCTCAAGGTGGATATTTTCCATGAAATCTATACTCAATGGGTCGTTCACATGGCCTCTTCCTATGCACTTCCAATCCAACTCTGCAACTTCGTTCACATGGCCTCTTCCTATGCCCTTCCAATCCAACTCTGCAACTTCTGAATAACCTGTGAAGGTTTATTACATATCACCAACAGTACAATGTAGCAACATGGTAAGGTGTGTAGTATGTACATATGTGGGGGGTGTGTGTGTGCGTGTGTGTATCTACCTGCTTACTGAAGCTTAAGTCTTATCAACTCAGGAGTCCCCTAAGTGCATTTTTTACTCTTTTTTTTTTTTAATCTTTTTTAACATTTATTTTTGAGAGACAGAGACAGAGCATGAGTGGGGGAGGGGCAGAGAGAGAAGGAGACACAGAATCTGAAACAGGCTCCAGGCTCTGAGCTGTCAGCACAGAAACCGATGCGGGGCTCGAACCCGTGAGAACAAACCATGAGATCATGACCTAAGCTGAAGTCGGATGCTTAACCGACTGAGCCACCCAGGCGCCCCGCATTTTTTACTCTTAATATCTGCGATGATTTACATACTGTTTGTATCAAAAAGAAATATCTAAAATGAAGGAAACAATACATCACTACTCCCAAATGTTTATCAGTTAAACTTTGGGAAGCTTCAAATAAATAAAAATAATGTATAATGCCTTCATTTTAATGGATTAGGTAGAATTTCACTTAATTAAACATGTATTAAGATTTCTTAAAACCACCAAAAACAGGGGTGCCTGGGTCGCTCAGTCGGTTGAGTGTCTGACTTTGGCTCAGGTCATGATCCCACGGTTCGTGGGGTCCAGTCCTGCATCAGGCTCTGTGCTGACAGCCAGCTCAGAGCCTGGAGCCTGCTTCAGATTCTGTGTCTCCCTCTCTCTCTCTGACCCTCTCCTGCTCATGCTGTCTCTCTCTCTCTCTCTCTCTCTCTCAGAAATAAGTTTTAAAAAACCATTTACCCCCCCCACCAAAAACATAAAACTTAAATGTCAACCATATCATTTTTTCTCTTTTAGTCAACTTCATCCTCTGTATCAAAGAGAGTAACTAAAATTCCCAAAATTAGAGGGGCAGAATATGAAGATTATTGACAGAAAGCCGCTATGTTGCAATTTAAAATACCGTTATACTCATGAGTCAGCTGGAAACTGGAAATGTAGTTTATGTACAATAGGATTAACACTATGCCACTCTTCTAATCACCAACAGTAGTATTTTCTTTAGGCATCAGAAAGAAAATAATAAAGTAAATTTTATCTTTTCCTTAACTTATGATCAGATTTATTCTGTTTACTATTTGGAAAAGAGTTGAGAGTCATTATCAGAGTATTAACCAACTGCTATCTCTTAATTATTTCCATTAGCTAGAAAAAATATATATCCCCCCAATAAACAGCATGTATACTCTCTATGGTAATTCTCTGAAACCATTAATGACATAAGAAAGGATTTAATATTTATTAATTCAAGTATTTACTGATTGCATAGTATGTGTTGAAGGCCATCACAGGCATTCAGAACCCTAATGTAAGTAAGACACAGGTCCATTCAACATGTAATTGATAAGCTTATCAGCAAAGACAGAAGCAGTTCATACATTTATAGAGTAATCTAAAAGGCAAATGTTAGGCTACTTAATACAGTCAACCGACAGTAATCTGTGTCAATAACAAGTACATATGATGCAGGATGTATAATGTAACTGGGGGCTGAGAATGAAACCACAGAGTATCTGTAAAGACAAGGAAGTTATGCATCATACAGTGCATTATTCCTATGGCTGATATAATGCTTTTATTGTAAACTTTCAAATATAGTCATGTGTTTCATCTTGATAAGTTCCTAGAACATACAGATCACTAAAAAACTATTTCATATTCAACTTTAAAAATTCACCTGTAGCTTGATGAAATCCAATGGCTGGGGCAAATCCAGCAGCCCCTGCATACGGTGAAGAAATTATACCTGGCGCACCTAATGGGAAAGAAAAGCTAAAGTAAATATTCTACCTACAGATATGGTTATCAAAAAAATTTTTAAAAAAGCTTTATGATGGTATGCTATTGATAAAGAGATATTGTTATGGAATAAAGATTTGTTCAAAAGGTGATCCCTAATGTGTAAGTAAAGAGTCTCTGCCCCTTCCAGAGGCTAACCTCTTTCAACTGGGCTCAAGGTTTAAGAGTAGAGCTTAGCTGTTATTTAGCCTTGAGTTATTAGTTACTTTCTTTTCGTTTAGTTTCATTAGTGAGGCTGAATTTCATGCCCTTATTTAGAGCGCTATTTCTATTTTAGAGAATTTCTATGTCAAATACTTACTAAAATGTCCTGTACCTAGAAGGGACCGTGGTAATGAAAATATGAAATAAAAATCCTTGCTTTTGAAAGGCTTACAAACTAAAATTTTATGAACTATATAATTCTTATAATAATATGATTTACAGAAGATTTATATACTGAGGATCTAGTGGCTTAAACAAAAATGTACTGCAAGTGGCCTAAGAAGGAAATACAGAGGATTCACTGTGATTGTCTGGAGGTTTCTCAGGAAGTAAAACTTGAGCTGGACATTATGTAATTGAAAAGCACGGTGCCTGGGTGGCTCAGTTGGTTAAGTATCCGACTTCGGCTCAGGTCATGATCTCATGGTTTGGGAGTTCCAGCTCCCAAATCTGTGCTGGCAGCACAGAGCTGGCTTCAGATCCTCTGTCTCCCTCTCTCTCTGCCCCTCCTCTGCTTGTGCTCTCAATCTTTCTCAAAAATAAACACTTAAATTTGAAAAAAGAAAAGAAAAGAAAAGAAAAAAGAAAAGCACGGTGCCTACTGCACACCAGATGCTAAGCAAATGCTGGTATTACTTCCTTTCTCTCCAGAAGCCTAGGGACTGTGACCATCAAGAAAAACAGGAGTTAGTTCCAATGGAGAAGTCAATACTAGTAGCAAGACAATTTGGTTTTGGACATGTCAAGGTTGAGGTGATGGTAACACACAAGTGGAAATGAGAAGGCAAACTTGACACAGATTTGTAAATCATCTATGTAGAAATAAATGTGAAAGCCATACACACGAGAGTTATACTTTTTAAAAAAGACATAAGACAAAAAATAGAGTTAAAAATAGAACCTTAGTGGGATGCCTGGGTGGCTTAGTCAGTTAAGCGTCAGACTTCGGCTCAGGTCATGATCTCATGGTTCATGGGTTTGAGCCTGCGTCCGGCTCTGTGCTGACAGCTAGCTCAGAGCCTGGAGCCTGTTTCAGATTCTGTATCTCCCTCTCTCTCTGCCCCTCCCCTGCTCATGCTGTCTCTCTCTCTCTCTCTCAAAATAAAAAAAAAACATTAAAAAAAAAAAGAACCTTAGAGTATTAGTACATTTAAGTGCTAGAGGAAGAAGGTAAACACTCTAAAAAAAAGAGAACAGCCTTAGAAATAGAAAAAACAAAACAGTGAATTATAACCTCTCAGGGTCTAGAGAAACACTGTTTAAGTGGGTAGGGGCTCAGCAGGTCAAAGGGAGTAAGAAACATAAAAAGTAAAGAACTTTCTGAGCAATAGTGAGAAGTAAGATTTTAACAGTCATAGGGAAAGGTTTTTTTTTCCTTTTTAACGATAGGGTGATGGGCATACTTATGGGAAGAAATGAGTAGGCTGTATTTTCCAGAGGAATTAAAAACCCCAAAAGTTTATTTTTTTCATTAAAAATAGTTAACAGAATCTGTTAAATATGTAGTTGTGATTTATTAAAATAACTCAAGAAAATATACAGTCATTAAGACTATGTATAAGGGATAGAGCTGGCAGGAAGAACTGACAGTGAGTGGAGATACACAAAATGAGATAACTGACAGAATTAAGTGATGAAATAAGAGAAACGTAAAATTTATTTATTGACTGCACATTGTGAGTCATGCATTTTTCTAGTGCTAAGGAAGAACTAACTGTCCGTGTTCAACTTATACTCAAGTAGGTTCAAGATCACAGATAAAAATGATTAAAGAAGTTTTTTAAGTTTATTTACTTTGAGGGTAGGGGAGGGACACAGAAACAGGGAGAGAAAACCGCAAGTAGAGTCCATACTGCCAGAGCAAAGACTGCTGCGGGGCTCAATCAAAGGAACCATGAGATCATGACTTGAGCCAAAATCAAGAGTTGGACACTTAACCAACTGAGCCACCTAGATGCTCCTAAAATGATCATTTTTACAACAGAAATAACTATATTTAAGGCATAGAGGAAGGCTTAACAAAGAGGTTTCAATATGGATATGAGTACTTATGAAAATCTGTGCTAGAAAGTTAAGCATATGAAGAGCTATATGGTAGGTTGAATTATTTTTGCCAAGTAGTTACTTATCCCTTCCATATAACTCTGGCGAGTACTGTGATTCGCACACATCTTTATGCAATTCTCATTGCACTGAATCATGAGTACACAGAGATATGACACATATCACCCCTCTATAAAGAACCTTCAAGAGTCATTATAGATTTACACCAGCTCTCCAATTTTTTACTCTCTGGCACAAGAACGCCATGTCTCAAATGTAGTGACACTTTTAACCTAGGCCCTAGATCACAAATACATGTGAAGGAGTGTTGCAAGAACGGATTCACAGCTGCATAAATGTCAGTGGTGTGAAAGAAATAAATGTTAATTGCTGTAAACCACTGAGATTGCGGGGAGGGCCAACGAGGTATTTTTAAAATACAAAAAGATTGGGGCACCCGGTTAAGTGTCAGACTTCTACTCAGGTCATGATCTCATGGTTCCTGGGTTCGAGCCTGGCATCAAGCTCTCTGCTGGCAATCAGAGCCTACTTCGAATCCTCTGTCTCCTTCTCTCTCTGCCTCTCTCCTGCTCATGCTCTCTCCCTCTCTCAAAAATAAACAAACATTTAAAAACACACAAGAAGACTAATACAGATGGCTATGGTAGGGGGCTGTGAGGTTGTGAGGCAGAAGACTATTAGTAGGTTTTAGAGAAATGAGGAAAAATTTTGAGGTAAGCATTCCAGAATGTTAAATAGTGATAAATAAAAGAATTGGCAAATAATTAACAGGGATAAATTTTGAGTAATTGCTTCCAAGTAAAAGATGATTAATAAGAACATTTATTAAAATTTGACAAAAGAATCATTGATAGTTTCTATAAATATACATTCCTTAAATAAGCAGAAACAGAAACATTTTAGCAAACCATTAGATAATGGGTTAGTGTCTTTATGAAAAAGGCTTGAGTTTAAAGACTAAGGAGGGGTGCCTGGGTGGCTTAGTGGGTTAAGCGTCCGACTTTCGCTTAGGTCATGATCTCGCGGTTCGTGGGTTCGAGCCCCGCGTCGGGCTCTGTGCTGACAGCCAGCTCAGAGCCTGGAGCTTGTTTCAGTCTGTGACTCCCTCTCTCTCTGACCCTCCCCTGCTCATGCTGTCTCTCTCTCTCCTAGGAATAAATAAAACGTTAAAAAAAATTTAAAAAAAAAGATTCTTTCTTAAAAAAAAAAAAAGACTAAGGATATTTTACATCTGGAAAATGTACCACCATAATAGCAATTAAGGCAATAAAAATTATTAACATTTTTACCTGTGAAATCAGTTTGTCACTAATATTTAAAATAACAAAACCCTAAAGAAATAAGCTTAATACCCAAATTGGAGAATGATTAACTTATGAGTTGTTAGACAAAATGTAGAGCCATTTAAAATATTACAAAGAATGTGTACTACAAAAAAAAAATAGTGCACTGTAATTATGTTTTTTAAAAATGTGGATACAGCAGCAGATTAAATAAACAGACCAACCTTCATGCAGAAAATGCTGGAAGAGTGAAAAGATCTTTAAAAAACTCTAACAGCCTACAAGATGATAAAGAATAATGAGGTCAAAACCCAAGCCCCAAGAAACTGAGCTTTGGTTTTGTCAGCCTCATGGGGTAGTAGACAAGACGAAAATTCCAGGATTGGCCCCAGGAAGGAAGTCAAGAGATGACCTTTATGGCATTAATCTGGAAGCATATACCTTAATAACCTCCCCTTCTCACCCTCAGACAAGACTGCAAGAAAAGGTGACTTTGTGTCTAGCAGAGAAGGGACAAAAAAGTTCCTGAAAAGGCCTAACCAAAAGCAAACTTTGCCAATTTGAAGCTCAAATTCACATTTCTTAGAAGTCCAAAATAAAATTAATGAAGTTGTAGATTTAGACTGAAATGGTCCCAAACACAGAGCTTCTAATGTTGCAGACAAACATATTCTCTCTGGAGGAGCATACCACAATCCCAAGCCTCAGGTAACTCATTAATTAATTCTCTAAGTAAAATAATAACTCGCTTCAAAAATAAAAGAAAAATGTAATAGACAGATACGGGAATTATCAGATCAAGATTTTAAATAGTACGCTTGAAGAAATAAAAGATATGCTAAAAAATACCTGTAGGGCAGAACACACAAAAAGGACAAAATAAAATTTCTAGAAATGAAAAACATAATTATTGAAATCTAAATTACTGGACAAGCTTTGTCTAATCAGAGTTAATCTAATAAAAGATTAGACAAAAGTAAAGACCATTTGTGAAATCAAAGTTAGGCCCTAAGGAATTATTCAGAATGCAGCTTAGAGAGATAAAGTAGAAAATATGAAAGTTTGAGACACTCAGAATAGAGCAAGAGGGTGTAACAGGTCAAATCAAAGTTCTAGAGAGTAAGAAAAGAAATAATGAGAAGGGAAAAGATATGAAAAGATAATTTCTAGAACAATAAAAGGCAATGACCCATCAAATCGAGAAGCTAAAGGAAGCTCCAATCAGAATTAACACATCACAGACACAACACCCTGAAACTACAACACATCGAAGATGAGGAAAATGTCTGAAGAAAAGCCAGAGAGAAAAAAGCAGTAGTTAGGCTGACACAGCTTTCTAAGAGCAACAATGAAAACCAGAACATCATCAAATGATTTAATATACTGAATGTAAAGAAAAAGAAAT